TTATATCGAGATTTTTCGACACATTTTGTGTGGAATGCAAATAAAAAAGTTGGACTCGCAGAAAGAAACAAATTGTTATAAGACGAATTGTTACAGTAAATCCATCTGAAGGAAAACGATATTTTCTTCATATTCTTATAAATCATATTCCTGGTCCAACATCATTTCAGGATTTACGAACCTTAAATGGAGTCACTGTTGTTACATATCGAGAAGCAGCACTTTTACATGGTTTATTAAGTGGAGATAACCATTGTGAAGAATGTCTATCCGAATCTATTGTTTATGAAATGCCTATTTCTTTAAGATGACTATTTGCTACACTTCTTATGCTTTGTAGCCCTAATGATCCAAATGTTATTATGAAATAAATTCAAATCTTATATGATTGATGATTATGTACATAAAAATATACCTTCACATATTGTTGAAATGCGGGCTCTAGAGGATATTAGTTGTATCTTAGAATGCTTGGACGAAAATATAAATGACTACAAAATGGTACCATTCAATGTAGATATAAATGAAAATGATAGATTAAGGAGAATACTTGAAGATGAGGCAACAAATTTGAATATTGAAGCAGGCTATGTTTGTGCAGCAAGTTTAAATGACAAGCAACAATTTGCATATGATACAATTATGGAAAAAATAACAACGGAATCAAGTGGTGCTTTCTTCATTGATGATCCAGGTGGCACAGGTAAAACTTTTTTGTATAAAGCATTGCTAACTGCTGTAAGGTCTGAAAATTCTATTGCTTTGGCAACTGCATCTTCTGGAGTATCTGCATCTCTTTTACCTGAAGGTCGAACTGCTCATTCAAGGTTTGAAATTCCTTTAGAAACAGTTGGTGAAGTAAGATGTTCTGTTAGTTAACAATCAGCTCTAGGAATTTTATTGAAAATGTGTAAGTTAATAATCTGGGATGAAGCACCCATGTTAAATCGGTGTGCTGTTGAAGCTGTCGATAAAATGTTGAGAGATATTAATGATTGTAACTTGCCTTTCGGTGGTAAAGTGATGGTTCTCGGAGGGGATTTCCGACAAGTTCTACCAATAGTACCAAGAGGGATAAAAGAAGATATAATAAAGGCTAGCTTAGTTTTCTCTGACCTATGGCCTCTACTACTACATCTGCCATTAGTTGAAAATATGAGAGCACAATTTGATCATACTTTCTGTGATTACTTGTTAAGAATTGGAAATAGGATAGAACAACAACACACTTGTAATTCTATTCGACTTCTTAACAATATAATTGTACCATTCAAT